AAAAAATGTTTTTATTAATTTTCCATTTTTTTATGAATTTTTCAAACCCTAACGTCCGTCCGAAAACTTTGTCCGCGCGATTTCTCTTAAACTATTCAGGGGATTCATCTCAAACTTAGTACATATAATCTGTGTCATATGGAGGGTTGCAGTCAAAAGAAAAAAAATGTTTTTATTAATTTTCCATTTTTTTATGAATTTTTCAAACCCTAACGTCTGTCCGAAACCTTTGTCCGCGCGTTTTCTCCTAAACTATTCAGGGGATTCATCTCAAACTTAGTACATATAATCTGTGTCATATGGAGGGTTGCAGTCAAAAGAAAAAAAATGTTTTTATTAATTTTCCATTTTTTTATGAATTTTTCAAACCCTAACGTCTGTCCGAAACCTTTGTCCGCGCGTTTTCTCCTAAACTATTCAGGGGATTCATCTCAAACTTAGTACATATAATCTGTGTCATATGGAGGGGTGCAGTCAAAAGAAAAAAATGTTTTTATAAATTTTCCATTTTTTTTATGAATTTTTCAAACCCTAACGTCCGTCTGAAAACTTTGTCCACGCGATTACTCTTAAACTTTTCAGTGGATTCATCTCAAACTTAGTACATATAATCTGTGTCATATGGAGGGGTGCAGGTGCAGTCAAAAGAAAAACATTGTTTTCATTATTTTTCCATTTTTTTAATGAATTTTTCAAAGCCTAAGTTAGCCCTATCCTAGCTATTTAATTTGTAACTACTGACACACAAGGCGGGTCGGGGGTATTAGTGAGCAACGCTCACCTTTGCACTTGTTACATTTATAATTCAGATACTTCGTGCGCTTTACCCGTTCTATTGATTAGTCTACCATAATGAAAGCAGATAGATAAGGGTACGTACATACCGGTAAAAGGAAACAAAACAAGGCATCACTATTAAATGATGTTCAGATGAGGGAGGAACGTCTCTCCCCGAATGGGGTGTGACATCTGAAAGTGTCCACGTCACACCCCTGGTGCAGGAGATACTACTGACCCGTGAAGAACCAGAGTAGAATAGGTCTTCAGCAACCCATGCTTGCCGTAAAAGGCGACTATGCTTGTCGTAAGAGGCGACTAACGGGATCGGGTGGTCAGGCTCGCTGACTTCGTTAATACATGTCATCGTACCCCAATAGCGTGGATCGATGCTCATGATGTCAATCACTGGATTCTCTGGTCCAGACTCGATTATTTCCAGACCGCCGTCATATAGCTGGAATATTGCTGAGTGTGGCGTGCGTTAAACCAGAAACAAACAAACAAACGAGATACTACTGGTAAGACAACCAGCAATAAGAGTGCGAGAAGAAGCGTACGTAAAAGGAGTCGTTGAATATGAAATATACTGATGGTGAATACATTTGGCGACACCTCCCCTCGCCCTCTTTTGAGAAGTGGTGTCCTCAACATTTAAGTGAGTGTGTGTGTTAAAATTTAACGTCGCATCAGCACTATTTCAGCAATATAGCGACGAAACCAAGTTAATGTATTCGCAATTTAGTTATTTATGCAAAGTTATATTTAAAAATAATTTATGAAACATTTTTGAGCATAACAATATCATGTATACAGTTTTAAAACACGGGCTATAGGCCACCAATAACCAAAGCTAGGCCACCTCGCTGGGGATCAGGGGGACTTACAGTACCTCTGCTTCCTGCATGATACCCTTGCAGGATTTACGTCATCACTTTAGCTACTTGTGGTTGTGCACAGAGATAGCCAATATTAAAATATACTTAGCAATGAGTTGGCTTAAAGACACTCGTTGATGATAGTTACATCGATTATGAAATGACACCTGCCGCCCCCAATATGCGTTGAGACCTGTGGAGATCCGGGGGTAGAATAGGTCTTAAGTATAACCCATGCTTGCTGTAAAAGGCGACTATTCGTGTCGTAAGAGGCGACTAACGGTAACAGATATAGATCTAGCTCTAGACCTAATTGTTAACCAAAAGTTTGTAAAAATGGCGTCCTTCTAATGCATCATTTAGTTAAAATGGCATGCTATGGTAAGCCATTACGCATCAGATATTTTAAATATAATTGGTGTGGCCAGTGACAATAGTTTGTAAATATCATGTTTCGACAGTACTTTTGTAGGCATATTTTTGTTCCACTCAAATTTAGTTCTGACCCCGGAATCTTCACGGGTCCATTTCTTTCTGTTAGGATCATTTTGACCCGTGAAGATCCGGGGTAGAAAAGGTCTTCAGCAACCCATGCTTGCCGTAAAAGGCGACTATGCTTGTGGCGACTAACGGGATCGGATGGTCAGGCTCGCTGACTTGGTTGATGCATGTCATCGATCCCAATTGCGGTAATCGATGCTCATGATATCAATCACTGGATTGTCTGGTCCAGACTCGATTATTTTTACAGACTACCGTCCTATAGCTTGAATATTGCTGAGTGCGGCGTAAAAAAACAAACCAACCTTTTGTGTATTGATGATTGAGTTAGTGTTTAAATTTTTGTTTCAGTAACATAACTTTAGACACCTGTCTCCTGGCTGTTATGGCTTTAATGATTCGCGATTCAATATTGCCTCAACTGTTTTTAGCAAGCCTGGTGTTGACAGGGGAGGTATATGTACACTGATGCAGAAGAAACAGAAGCTTTCACATCCAATGCTGATATGAAGTCTGGTGTTGGCAGTGGATGTTCGACAACCCTGGTGTTGCCTCTCTACCCTCTACCAATCCCGGTTCGCCCCGATTATGTTTCTAGGTTTGTCAGCACCATACCCGTGCTCGTGGGTTTCACCGAAGTGGTAAACGTCTTAGACCTGCATCACTTCGGGCTTTCCTCCCACAATAAGCTGACACGCCGTCATATAACTGGAATACTGCTAAAAGCGGCGTTAAACCAAACTCACTCACTCACTCACTCTACCGCCTTGTGGAAGTTGTGGTACTTGTACAGGTATACATTTAGTACAGTTAAGCCCCTCAGCCCAGTTTAGACACACTATTGTCACTATCAAGGTCCATTATAAGATCTACATTTCACATTAGAAATTTCTGACAGTGCTCCTTTAAAGCCTCATTGTGTATGTAATGGTCAAAGGGGCGGTGGGGTAACTTCGTGGTTAAACTGTTTGCTCGGGTTCGATTCCCCACATGTGTACAATGTGTGAAGCCAATTTCCCATGCCCCTAATCACCCCCCCCCCCCGAAGACCCGGGTTCGATTCACGACATGGGTACGATTGTGAAGCCCATTTCTGGTGCCGCCCCCCCCCCCCCCCCCCCCCCGAATCTACTGAAATATTGCTAAACGGGGCGTAAAACCTTACTCAATCAATGTAATGGTCAAAATGTTTATTACCATTTCCTCAGTTGGTTAAAGAGGTATAAAATAGGAAATGATATCCATGCAATTCGTATTGTCAGTGGTAAGCATAGCAACACAACGCTTACATGACTTTAAACTAATATGTACATGACTGACTAATACAATAATACAAACTAATATGCACATGACTGTATGATATAATAAGATGTATCTGCCACATGCATATCGAAAATACTTCAACAGTTATTCTAGACGTTAAGGGACATACTTATCAGGCACAACGATTGTGCCGACGTCATAATATAGCCCCATGAAAGGGGAACTTTCGCAAAAATTCTTAGATATTTCTGGATAATTCTCAAGATTTCTGCGTAGTATTTGCATAGCTGCGCCCAAATTTAACAAACCTCCCAGGGACATTTTCCAAATACTTTTGCGTTGTAATGCATACCACAGTGACAAAGAAGGATATTGCTGAAGGAGTTGTCAACAGGCGCATTTCCTGTCAAGAAATGGATCTCCGACCGGTGTCATGCATGAACATAGCCTACCAAGGGTCTCCATATCAAATAAAAAAACTACATTTCCCTTGTGCTCTCTCTGCATAGGGGGCGGTCGGGTAGCCTAGTGGTTAAAGCGTTCTCTCGTCACGCCGAAGACCTGGGTTCGATCACCGACATGGGTACAATGTGTGAAGCCCATTTCTGGTGTCCCCCGCCATGATATTGCTGGAATATTGCTAAAAGCGGCGTAAAACCATACTCACCCACTCACTCACTCTCTGTAAATCCCGTCGTAATGTTAAGCTCATGCATGACTATCGGTTGAGTCATTTATAAATACAAGCTTCAAGGTCAAAATCAGTTTTGAAAGGATAAATTTGAAGTATCGTAGATCGAAATGTATGCTTCAAATGTATGGTGAGAGTGATTTGCGTCGTGTCTGCATCATTGATTATTGTCGCAGCGTGTAGATTGGCCAATGCTAATTGAAACAGTTACAAGTAAACACTTATAATTCTTAATTAAATTACCGCTTTCGATTATATAGCAGCAAGTTTCATGGTGTATGTCTGAAACTGTATCTATTAAACGTTTCGAAAGAAACCGACATATTGAAAACATTTGTAGGTAATGTTTCCACATAAATATCAAATACGTTAATCGTATTCCGGAGGTATATGTAAATTCCATATGTAAATACACAATTACCTTAATGACTGTCGGCTAACCTTGAAACAATAAAGTGAAAGGCAAGACCTCAACAGTCAGCCGTATTGTATCTAACAAGCCTTTTTGTTGATGCGTGTTATGGAATGTTAAATCTTGGAAAGCGACGAAATGCGACGCTCACAGCTCCCAAACAGGGGCGTGTCTTAGGTTGACTCACTGGTTGGATAGATCTCACTTGATATAGTGAGTGAGTGAGTGAGTGAGTGAGTGAGTTAATATTTAACGTCACATCGGCAGTATTTCAGCCATATCGTGACGAGAACTGATATAAAATACAAATATTTGAATGGATTAAATATCTGTCATCGAAGGACAGTAAAAATAACTAGAGTATCACAGTTTTGATTTTAAAACTAGTTGAGAACATTAAAAAGAATACATTTTCAATCAACAATACAATATAAAAATGGGCTCATTTGATATAGAGTACAGACAAGCTTGCTCATACAGGTGCCATAAATAGGGGTTCGTAACATTCGATTTGACACAAACCTCGGCGGACGTGTGGGAAACATGAAGGCGTTCACAGTATTTGTTCTACTCTGCGTCGTATCGGGAGCTCACAGCAGTTCCAGAGATGAATCCTGCAGTAACCACGACAAGGCTATGGACGATGCTCTGAAGACTGTATGCGCAAAAACTTGCATGCGTTGGTCAGTTGTAAACTCATACGTAAGTTTACTTTCTATTAATTTTCCTTTCCTCTCATTAAATCATGTTTTTTTTATAGTTTTGATAACGTTCTTTTAGATATTACATAAGTTTACTGGATATATTTTAGTATTGTTAGGTTGAACATGGGGAGGCTTTGGTGTTTTGCCTGAATTTAACCGCCGACGTCCTTTCCGTTTTAACCAGGCAGCACTTTAACATCTCAGGGATAGCACATGCCATTTCCTTTAAAGCCATGGGAATTTGTAATTGTTCTCAGTGTTCAATTAATGATACATTCATGATAACTGTCATGTTAATCATAACATTTATTCGTCATGGGTGGCCTTGCCTTCTAAGTCGCCACAATTCGCTGTACAGAGCTGGCTCCCCTGAGAACGCCGAAAAACCTGAGATCGTGGGTTCTAATCTCAGTTCGCCCCAATTCTTTCTAAATTTGGCTACCTCCTACCACGGTTTCACCAAAGAGTTAAACGTCTGAGACCTGCATCACTTGGGCCTGACCTGCATCACTTGGGGCTTTCCTCCCACATCAAGCTGACACGCCATGATATAACTGGACTACTGTTCAAAGCGGCCTAAAACGCAATTCCCTCACTCACTCAAAAATCTTGCTGGAATATTGCTAAAAGCGGCGTAAAACCATACTCACTCACTCTAATGGTATCATAATCATATATGTATAAATCATACGTTTGTCAAGGTATGTCTTTAGTGTTGTCTTGTTTATAGTGATACATTCTTAGTTTGTATGGGGGGCACGGGTGGCCCAGTCGTCTAAGGCGCCGTGATTCGCTGTGCAGATTTGCGTCCCTTCGGCACGCCAGAAACCTATGATTGTGGGTTCGAATCCCGGTTCGCCCCGATTATGTTTCTAGGTTTGTCAGCACCATACCCGTGCTCGTGGGTTTAACCGAAGTGGTAAACGTCTGAGACCTGCATCACTTCGGGCTTTCCTCCCACATTTAAGCTGACACGCCGCGATATAACTGGAACACTGTTAAAAGCGGCGTTAAACCCAACTCACTCACTCACTCACTCAGTTTGTATGATTCCAGGATATGACCGACGGCATCGGTCAAGTTCTTAACAGTGCCACCCATAACAGGTGTGGCTCTTCTGAAGGCATCGTGACAATCAATGAACTACAAATTGACCCCAGTCCTCTTGTACTTCCGGGTAACATCAATCTCGCTTTCAAGGTGAACGTCAAGCGAGATCTCCAGTCACCCATAAAGGTAATTTTATCCGCGAAAAAAATGCAACATTTACTTTCATTAATGAAGATAGCATTCGTCATCTGTATCATTTATATGGATCATATTGAAATTCAAAAAGGCCCTCAAAGTTCGCGTATTATTGTAAATTTCACTAGCCCAGATTTGTATAGACGTGGAATGAACTGAAATATTTCAGATCCGATGTAAGTATTAATCACAAACAAATATGTATTTGAACGGAATAAGCTGTGTAGCAAGTTTCTTTGTTTTGGTGGATTTGAGCATAAAAACGAATAAAGATATCACTTAGTTGTCATTAGTTGTTACTTTTCTTTTGATAACTGACATCGAAAGTACGTAAAGCAACAGGACTTAAACAAAATGTAGCGATTGGTTTGAGACAGGGAAAGGTTCATTTTTCATTAAGGCAGATGTTGCTGTGAGGGGTTATGTGTAGGTATTGTGGAATGCAAAGTCAGCACATTAATTGTAACAGCTGTGTTGTAAATACCTAAGGTGGAATGGGAATACACTTTCCAAGAATGGAAATATTCGGGTTTTTTTAGCCAAAGAATATGGGTTGATTTCAAGATGAATAATTGTGCCGAGGACATTTTGAACCCATGCATGGACCCTATGTCATCACCGGATGGGGGTTTATGATAAGACTAAAACATTGATGTTTGTATTTTCTTAATCCAGGTTGAGGTGACAGTATGGAAGAGCATTCTCATCTGGATCCATGTGAAGGACTTTGCTTTTGAGGACGTGTGTGAGTTCCTAACAGATGGCAAATGCCCACAATCCTTCATTGATAACAACATACCCTGCAGCTGCCCCATACCCGAGGTAAGCACGGTCATTTTCCATTTCATATTCAGCAAACTGAATTACATATATTGCCGACCTGTATTAGTTCAGGTTGGTTGGTTGGTTGGTTGTTTAACGCCGCACTCAGCAATATTCCAGTTATATGACGGCGGTCTGTAAATAATCAAGTCAGGACCAGACAATCCAGTGATTGATATCATGAGCATCGATCCACGCAATTGGGATCGATGACATGCATCAACCAAGTCAGCGATCCCGTTAATCGCCTTTTACGACAAACATAGTCACCTTTTACGGCAAGCATAGGTTGCTGAAGACCTATTCTACCCCGGAATCTTCACGGGTCATTAGTTCAGGACCAAGGTAACCACCCAAGTTGATATTCTGTGGGATACTAGAATCCCTGTGATACAAATGCACCTGTTTCCTACCGAATCATAATCACCAGTTGTCACTGCTCGGTTACCCTATTCAGTACAAGAAAACATTGATGCAGAGCATCAAAGTTCCCCGCCATATGTGATGCCTCACAAACGCATAATTATGATGTTACTGAAAGGCATGATGGAGCATAATTATATTAACCACAAATAACACAACGCTGTTGTGGAAAAAAATATTATTTATTTTGAGTATTGGGCAATACAGTTGATACATTTGCATAGGGTAGGTCTATTTAAAAATAGTTTCTTGTTTAACGCCGCACTCAGCATTATTCCAGCCATATGACGGAGGTCTGTAAATAATCCAGTCTGGACCAGATCATCCAGTGATTGACACCAAGGGCATCGAACTACGCAATTGGAATATGATGTTATGCATCGACCAAATCGGCGAGCCTGACTACCCAATCCTGTTCGTCGCCTTTTACGGCAAGCATAGGTTGCTGAAGACCTATTCTTACGTGGATCTTTATTTAAAAAAGTTGATCGAAGGAAATGGAAGCAATTTCTGGCACAAATGTAAACATGTGGAAATAGTATCAAAACTGCCAACAACATTGGCAGATGCACATACTCAAAATATAGATCACATTCTTTTTACAACTAGCATTTGGTTATAATAATGTAAATGAAAATACTAAGGGCTCCATATGGCAAAAAAAGTCATACTAGATAAGGTCTTTTTGTCACAACCACAGATGCACATACTCAAAATATTATCACGTAGTTGGAGAACATTTCAATACCGGGACTAATCAATAACGGAGATTCCTCGTCTCTTGTTTTACGTTTTTTGGTCAGGTTTTTTTTGTATTTCTTTCTTTCAAAGAATAGTAATTGTGATCATGATGAGTTGAGTTACTGGTTTTTTTTCTATATACTGTTTTTTATCCAGTGTCAGTAACTGTTGTGGAATGTGGTTTACTTGTAACAATGACTGGTTTGAGTTCATATGATGATGATTGATTGGTTTGTCGTTTAACGCCGCACTCGGCAATATCCCAGCTACATGACGGCGGTCTGTAAATAATCGAGTCTGGACCAGACAATCCAGTGCCTAATATCATGAGCATCGATCCACGCAATTGGGATCGACGCCTCTTACGACAAGCATAGTAGCCTGATATATATATACTGTTAAGATGTAACATGACAATTCATCCATACTACTAAACAGAAGTAAAACCGCTGGTCCATTCGGATCAATCTGACCAAGACCATTCCGCTGATGACAGTCAAATAATGCATACGAATCGAAATCCGTAAAAATTGCAATGGAGACATCATTAAAAGTTACCAAAAGTGACGGGGATATCAATATTGCTTTTTGAAATGATTCTATGAAATTTGTTTTCCCTGCTTCAATATTTGGAGCACCTGTGACGGAGCCATAAAACTGATCTGTTATGTAGACAATATCGCTTGAGGCAGTGGCTGCTGGGGACTGATTATGACCTAAATACTCCTCATAGCCTTCGGTGTTAACTTTGTGGCTGTTGAGAGCTGTGCCTTCATCCAACAGATTATCGAGGTCAGTGGAACAGGTACATGTACAGACGCAAATAGATTTGAGCTATGGGACACAAAATATATGAGTGACCAGAGCTACGGCTGTACATTGAATTCCATTAAACGGTTGAAAAATACTACAGCCTTGATGCAAATTCGCTGACACACTACTCCGATTTTGCTTTGATCATGACTTTGCTACCAAACGTTTCACATGTGGTTATGTGCGATGCACTGATTAAAACACACACACGGGGGACTGGGTTAATTCAAAATACGGAATATAACTATTCCAAATATTTCCAGTGAACATGAGCATCCAAACAATCAAAAGTGTGGTATGTAGAATATGGAACTCAGCCATATTACATTTAAATTGAGATGTCGTCGTTGTTCATGAATAAGCATATTCAGAACATAATTTTTATTATGCTGTTATTTACGATCTCCGGACCACAGTTCTTCTTTTGTATACACCGTGAAAATCAGAAAATTAGTCCTTGAGGAAAAAAGGACATCGGATTACACATGAATGGTTTAATAATGTCAGCTAATGACCAGAAACGGTCAGATGCATCAATTAACTACATAAAGACGATTTTGAAGTATCTCTTATTGCTGGAAAAGAATAGCATCAACATTCGACGCACATGATTTGTATGTTTTGTTTCCGTAAATGCGTGGCTTGAAATTTCAAATAAACCAACATGTCGACATACATGCCACAAATTTAACGTTTCCCGTATACTTCCCCGCCTTAAGGGCGGGGAAGAACGAAAGAGGTTATTTAAGATAGATGTTACTCAATCCCGAACATGGTCTTCCATCCATACCACATATGGCTGGCCTTTACCCCGCTGGGCAACCGTTGAGACCTACAAACTTATACATCATTTATTATACAAAGCTGCTTTTAAATCATGTTCGGCGACTATGTATTTTATTCTATTTAACATTCCTTTTTTGTTTTATTTTGCAGGGAGAGTATAACTTTCCCAGTTCCAAGTTTCCACTCAAAGCGTCATCCATTCCTGGTGGAGATTACTCTGTCAGGTTTAATGTCAATATGGGCCCGACACTGGTGTTGTGCGAAGACGTGTACTTCACGGTCGCATAATTTGTCACCAATAAAATGATGTGAATAACAAATTGCATGTTTTCGCTTCTAAGTAGTCATTTCCGTTATAAAATTAAAAACGGCTTTCAGTCTCACTGTCTCGCCATTTTCAACAACATGAGTGAGTGAGTGAGTATGGTTTTACGCCGCTTTTAGCAACATTCCAGCAATATCACGGCGGGGGACACCAGAAATGGGCTTCACACATTGTACCCATGTCGGGAATCGAACCCGGGTCTTCGGCGTGACGAGCGAACGCTTTAACCACTAGGCTACCCGACCGCCCCTTCAACAACTTGAACTCATACTTGTATTTGGTCAGTTCTCAGACTGGTATCCTTGCGCTTACATTTGCTAATGGTTGGGTAGCCTAGTGGTTAAAGCATTCGCTCATGATGCCGAAGACCAGGGTTCGATTCCCGACATAGGTACAATGTGTGAGGACCTCATTACCATGGGTTGACATCTGATTTTTTACTCCAACTTCAACGTGTTACTTTGTGAAAGTAGTATCTGTGAATGAATAAGCGTGTTTTACAGTAAGTCAGCAATAATAGAGGTGTATGTGACTTATCGGGTTTATACCCGACAAGATTGTTACTGGAAGATTGAGCAACAATCCGCCAATCAGGTTAGTGATTGCAACCACTGAGTCCTCTCAGTTGGGCGACACTGTTGACGATCATGTATTGATACAGCTAAAGGCTTGAAGTAACACTGACATGTAGCTTTTCAAGTCTCATCCCCGATTTCAATTCCATCATCGCTTGAGACAAACATAATTTTAAGTTACTTATAGTATATACATACTCTGAATGGAACTCCAAACAGGGCCACAGTTTTGTTGGTCATGGTATACAAAGATTATCTTTTTAGTTTTGGAATTAGCAATTTCTATGATATGAACAGACAAGGCCTTCAGTACCTAAATTTTAAAGAGACATACGTCCCTAGGACTAAGAACATCTAGTTAAATGGGTAGGTTGGTCGGTATCTTGGTTGAATGCAAGTCATTCTATCCCAACTGCATAGTGTGGCATGTAACTACTCAGGTTATAAGGTGCATTTTTTAAAGTAAAACCCGCCCTCGAAATTCCTCCGCGTTAAGGTGTCAAGACTAATAAGTTTATCTCTAATATAAGATTATCCTCGCGAATACAGTGAGGTCGTCTTGACTTGTGTATTTACAAAAGCCTGCAAAATAAATAACTCGGATTTCACATGTACTTAATGCTTGTAATATCAGTTGCGGGCAGTTGTGGTCCAGTAGTCTGAGGCAGTGGAATTAAATAATCAGCAGAAATTCCTTTAGGTCGCCAAGTCATGTTCATGAGTAAGCCGATTAAATACATGATTCAATACAGATAAATTTCAAGCAAGCCCATCCTCACAACCATTCAACAACATATTTAAAGTATGTGTTCATGGTTCAAAACACTCAAATCGATAATTCAATGAAGTTATAGTGATTGTTATCTGCCCGATTTCGGCTGTACATGACATGAATTTGAAATACATGTACAATGTTATCATGTTTGATGTGGCTTTTGGTTATATCACGTCCTCGACAGGTACATGTGTTTTCTTTACTCTACCTCATCCGCATGTAAATGTACAGGTTAGGACGACCTTCTCTGTATTAGAAAAACAGCCAACCAGTCAGAAAACATATTCCAATTTCCAGGGAGAACATTTTATCCTCGGGTATACAGGTTCAGTTGGGTTCGACTCCACACAATCATAGGTGACTCAACAGAACTAATGTTATCCCGACCTGTCTCACATGATATAGAACTTGATATCTTTGTCATAGGTCGTTTTAAAATTTAGTGAACAATAGAGGTAGATATGAATATACTTCGAATGGGCGGTCTTACATACCTTTTATGGAGACAATAATTTTACGCTACATCAACCCCTGTCGAGGGCATAGCCACGAACAATCTCAGTTAATAATCATATACTGACGATTTATAAAATTCATAACGTTTTAGATCCGAATTTTGAAAATTAATTCTATCTGTTTTAAAAAATTAATGATTAAACGTGAAATAACATTCCATAAAATGCTTGATCCCTTGTAATGAAAGAAATCAATACTTTCAATCAGGACATGCTTCTCTCATCACAAGGGATGCAGAACGGAGGATTATCACCTTTCAATAGTTATTAATGCGTATATCTGCTGTGGCCAATACGACATCGTCGCATAAAGACATCATCAAATCTGGACTGACAACCAAAGTTGGTGTTACCAAAAGTGGGTTTAATTTCATGTAATTTGTTATTGTCTGCTTGGGTGTCCCACTTCTTTTGGGATCACGGATGTAAGATCTCTCATTTTAGGTTAAAATCACTGTATGATATAAGACATTGCGTCACAGACTTGTTGAGTGCTGTATGTGCAAAATACGATGTCTTAATGGCTAGTTGAAAGATCATTGTATAGTTCTAAAATATTTAAAATAATTGGATGGGCCGAAGATACATTATTCAATGCCTGAAGACAAGGGAGAGATTCAGAAAAGATGATAATCTGTCGCTGAATATATACCAAGGCTGTTAGGATGGCATTGATCTCAGCAGTAAAAATAGAGTTATTGTCTTGAATTATAGATGATATAGTACTTGCTACTTTGCCACCGTCCTTGGACCGATCAGTAAAGATTGAAAGGTGCGTGTCATATTTATTTCTTAATTGTACATATTCCTGTAGATAAACAAGTTGATTTGTTGATTTTATAGAAAGTGACAGGGAAATCTCACTTCTGGCTTCACCAACAACCAGGGAGGAGGAGACAAAAGCCAGTCAGGAGATTATATCCAGGTCTAGATTTGCAGCAGTAATACTGAATTTGAAACGCAATTTTAACAGGTCTAAAATATCTCAAGAACCAATCAAAATATAAACAATTCATTATTTATTCAGATTCACTCTCATGCCTTCAGGCTATTAAAATATGTCTGGAAATCCGACTAAGGTCCATGCGGGTAGCAAAAGTTCTGTAAGTCCCCATTGTCCCCAGCGCGGTGATCAACCTTCAGTTGGTGGCGATCTATAGACCGCAGATGTTTTCAGTGCGCACGGGTTCCCATTGTTCATAGCACTTTTTGTCAGTGTTGTGTAGTACTTCTTGATTTCTTGATGCTCTGCTGCTGATTTGGTTTATAGTGCTTGCATTTGTTGGGATTCCCGCCATAGTAAGTGCAGTCGAGGCTCATGTTATTCTTGCATGAAAAGAGAGGCAGTCCTCGAGGTGCTTTGCCGTCGTTTATATTCAGCGAAGCTGCATGACCCATTTTTCTCTTTTATTGTATCCTTGAAGTACCGAAAGAAACTGAATATAAATATAGTACAGTATAGTAAAACAAAACGACAAAACCCTTTCCATAAACAAAAGAATTACCTGCTAAAAGCTGAGGCCATTGCACAATTCCGACTATAACATTAGCGTTTGTTTATGAATCACTACCAAATAGTTGTTATGTGGTAGAAGACGCTGTTGTAAAATTATTTGTGGTACTTGTCAGTGGCAACAATTGATTGGAGGGCTAGTAAATTGTCGAATTCTGTCGTGGCTAGATTTTAACGACAGTCAGTGGCAGCGAGGAATCTAGAGTTTTCCATCTATTCGGCGTGGGGAAATAAACAAAAACTTACTTTTTATGAAAATTTCGTGATTGACGAGTGCTACCGATAGGGCAGGACATGCTTACACATTTCTCGAACACCTGGTGTCATAATTGATTTTCAGTGATCCATTCATATATTTCTCACCACTATTTTGCCTTTCACGCCCAGTGGAATCTGATTCGGCAGATAATCGAAACTGACGTTTTATATCACACAGATTCCCAATTACCTGTAGGCTGCAAGTGTTTTTGGACTAAAGAAAAGACAACTGTTGCTTTTGATTTGTTCGAGGTATAAATAAGGTATGTTTGTATTTTACATTCACACTTCGCATCACGTATATGGATATGAAATATTGGTCGAGATGCTGACCTTGTAGGTTTCGCCCAGTTCATCTACGGAGAAGGTGGCAGGGAGCAGCACAACTATTCCAAAGATGACGGTCCACACTTCCATGTTAGCTACATAAATATGAAATAAAGGAGAATTAGATTAAGCCTTTACTGCCTTTTATAAGTCTGAAGAAACAAACGCTGAACAGAAGTGTTGTGCAAGATATAAAAAGGAAATGTATGATCAATGGGTGCAAGGATGAATCAATGCTGTTTAAGTAAACAATTCTATCTATGAATACGTTTTTTTTTATAAATACATTTTAGTCTGTTTTAGGATGTGCAGATCTTGGTGGTAGTAGCAAATATACATACATACATACGTACATACATACATACATACATACATACATACATACATACATACATACATACATGAAATGTCACTCTGTATTATTAAAAACTATTTGACATATAATGCTTCTATTGCATGACTATTAAATAAAGTTACGTTTTACAGCGCATTGGGATATTTGTCAATACTTTTACATTTGAGCTTCACTTATCGCTATGACTGCAAATAAAGCAGCGGTAGTCAATCGAATTCAACCTCGTCACAATTATAAGCGAATACAACCATGTTACTAGTATATGAGGAAACGAATGCAACCTATGTATACTATTGTATGTAATAGCAATGTTACCTCGACATCATTATATCCGCAATCATATTCTACCTGGTCTCTATTAAATTCACTAACACATTCTGCCTCGTCACTATTTTGTTCAAAAATATACTACCTCTGCACCATTCTATTTGCAAACTTATTCTACCTCGTCACTATTATATGCACAAACATATTCCATCTCACAATTATATGTAGAAACCAATTTAACCGTGTCACAATAAGATGCTGAAACGAATTCAACCTCATCACTATTACATACAAATTCAGCCTCGTCACCATTATATTCGCAGTCACTGTCTACCTCATCACCATTATATTCGCAGTCACTGTCCACCTCGTCACCATTATATTCGCAGTCACTGTCCACCTCGTCACCATTATATTCG